TAATCACCCTGGCCCGAGAAAGCCTAAGCTCGACTGTATTTTCTACTCCCCGACAGCCTGGATACACAAATTACTGAGCTGGGGGCAACCGTTATGTGCCCATATATGAGGCCCATATACTAGAAGGCTCAATTAATGGCAACAGAAAAAGGAAACTAAAGGAAATAATCCTTAAATGATACCAATCATAATAAGACACAATTAACCTAACATATGGCCCCAAGAAAAGCCACTAAACGTCCAAAATTCCATTACCACCAAACCAAGTAAATTCTATAAATAAGAAGTAAAATCTACAAGTATGACACTTACTCGATCTCTCGTTACTTGCTGTCACTGTTCATACATCCCATCCTTTTGGCAACGTCTCTTGTGCACAGTGATATGCTTACCTTACATCAAAGATATCTCTTTCATAAATATCTGAGAGAGCTCTAAATCCAAGATCAATATATTAGTTTCTGATTAGACATCTTGAACCATTAGGATAGAACAATCTCCATTTCCGCGATAACCCATTACAATCGACTAACATAAAGCTGGGCTAGCCATCTAGTTCAGACCCAGGTTAAAGCACCCTATCCAACATGCACTAATGTCCTTGCCACTTCCATGTTTGCAGATAAAACACACTCTCTGGAATAGTGACTTAAATACCACACTTTTTCAAAAAAAATTCTCAAATGCCACGGGAATAATATTTTTTACCAGACTGTCACGCGTCCAAGTTCGCTACCAGTCATAGCGAACTTGGTTAGACCACATGTCACGTTTTCATTAGCGTACTAAGTTCGCTACCAGCCGTAGCAAACTTCGTCACCTATGATTTCATGACGTGAACATTTTACAAAAAAAAAAACCTAACTGTACTAAGTTCTCTATGACTGATAGCAAACTTGGTTACGGCTGAAGAGTTCGTCCTTCTTTTCCTCTTACCCTTTTCTCTTCATCTCAAAAGAAAAATGTACTTTCTCATTAATGAAAATTCCAGAGGCGATATACATAAACAAAAGCTAGACTCAACTGTATATTCGAAGATTCACATTCCAGCCCTAAATTTTAGGACCTGCACTAAAATCATTAGCCTTGTACTACTTTAACTACACCTGCCCTTTCTTTTATTTTTCACTGTACTTAGAAAATAACTTGACAGCCCAAAAGATTAAAAAAGAAGAAGGAGGAAGAAGAACATAAAGCCTAGCAAGCCTAGCTAACAACATATATTCAGTCCTTTCTCTGTCTCATGAATTTAATAATACCCCAACGGCCTCTGCTAACATAGCATTCACATCAAAATGCAGAAGGATGAACACAGAACACAAAGAAGATGGGGAAGCAGCAAGGTAGCCAGCAATGATATTAATTTTCACCCTCCAAAGTACTCCCCTGATGTTAATTCTTTCCGGAAACCGCTTTAAATAACCAACTGGTTTTCTCAGTGTTTTCTTATCTTCATCATGTCTAATAGTTAATATCATCTGTATGTGCAGGAGGTACTCTGCATTTTTTACTCCTCTCATTTGGTTTGGTGGCTCCTTGTGTTTCACTCATATATTATTTTTAAATTGTGCAGGTAATATGCAACTGTGTACACTGCTGGAGTGCTGGTCATGACAATTATAGGAGGCATACTGTAAACTGATAACTCAGAGGCATAATGAATAAGGGTAGGTAAGATATCGCAGCAAAAATGTAGCAAAATTAAGCTTCGGATTAATGTTAAGTCAGATATTCTTTAGTTTTTCTCTTTACATACACCTATCACACTCTTTTGTTTTTGTTTTTGGTAACCTATCACACTCTTTCTAATATAAAAAGAATTTGTTTGTTAAATAATATCGGTAATTTTTATTTTTTGAAAAAATGTATTCGCTTGTAAAGTAATGGTTTATGGTCCTAAGTTTATGAAGTGTAGGGTTAATTTTTCGGAGTTTATATATACAAATTTTACTAACTGAAAATACTTTACTAGGTTTTATTCAAAAGCCATTTGTTCTCGATTTTTCGCTTGTCGGAACCATGGAAAGATAGATCACCCGATTTGAAACATGCTTTGCCCCGCATCCGCCTGAGCTTTCCGTGTACCACTGCATCTACTATAATAATTTGGGGGTTCTATCAAAAAATAAAATAAAATTATAATTTGGGGGATATAACTGAAAAAAAAAAATGTTCAGCTCGAACGTACCAATTTGTTTATTTATTTTTAAAAAAGTAAAATTTTACGCCTTTGTTTTGGGTGGTGATACAGACTACAAGAGCTCGAATGCATGTATTCACTACCCATAAATTAGTCCAGAACAAAGGCGTAAAATTATACTTTTAAAAAATAAATTGGCACGCTTGTGCTAAACACTTTTTACCCAATTATAACCCCCATATTATTATAATCACAACTACAACCCACTAGCCATGGATAGATCAATTGATTTTAAAATTTTAAAACAAAAATAAAAAACTATATGATCCAAGATCAAACACTAAACTATATGATCGTAAACCTTTTAATATTATATATGTTAGGATGCCTTTATTATCAGTAACAAACTAAGAGTAAGTCAAAGATATGGTCAATATTTTTCCAAAAACAGTCATCCACAACGATAAAAAAAAAAAAAAAAAATCCTAAAAACTTATATTTTGTGCACATCACTAATAACAAACACCTTAATGATTAGGGTTAGGGTGTATATGCCTTGAACTCACTCTTGCAAACTATGCCTGAGAACTAGAGTTTGGAAGACTCACAAAATTACTTGACTCATGAAACTTTAACCCATCTTTAGAGCAACCAAGGAAAACAAAGATAGGATATATTTATGATTTAATTTTTTTTTTTTGCATTTTATTTAATTGCTTCTCTTATGTACGAGCATGATTAGATCGTTATTTTAGAACTTACAATATCATGAACTGGTTATTCTAAAAGAGTGAAAATAAATGATTTTATATCTAACGAATACATCAAAACTTGACAGGGATCGAATTCCTTTTGTTTTTCGAAGGCACCAATCTGGAATTTGGATTCACATTCGCCCTCCTCCCACCTTATGCTAAGGAGGCAAAAGAACTATTTTGAACTCTTTACCTATTCCTTATCTAACAAATTAAGGTTTTGATACTAACAGGTTCTATACCAATCCCTTTCAAAACCCTCATTTTTTGATAAAGGGGTATCGACATTTGATAATTGGGTGAATCTCGTGTTGGGGCAAGTAACAGGAATTACGTTAACCTGTACTATAATTTTCACGCCTTGGTAGCCCACACCTCTTAAAGAAACCCCACCCAACTTAAGGGCCCACTGTATGTTATTTGTTATTACATTGATTGGCTTCACCCAACACCCGGATTGAATTTTGATGAAGTTATTTTTGAATTTTAAAAAATTTTCCGCGCAATAATTTTGTTTCACAAAAAAAAAAGAAAAAAAGATTTTCTTTTTCTTATAATCCTATCTGTGATGGGCATATAAACAAGGATAAGATATTGTAATAACCAATTAGGATTATTACTAATGTTATTACCAATCAATTTCACCGTTAGATCGATTATGTTGATCCAACAGTTATATTTATTTCTATCTTTGTATGGTTATGATTCTTCATATTTAATAGAGGTGTTCATCAACCGATTCAAACCGTGATAACCGAACCGAAAAATCAATAACCAAATAAATCGAAAAACTAAAAATCGAGAAAAACCGTAAATTTTAATTAGATTGGATCGATTTTCAGATTGGTAGATGAAAACCGATCTAATATATTGATTTTTCATTTACAAAAAAAAAATATATATATATATATTGATTTTTCTCTACCTATTTGGGTCTTTTCCCAATCATAGCCCAAAAATTTCTAAACCCAAGACTCATTAACCTATTAACTAAACCTAAGAAAAAATCTAGTCACCTCTCATCAACAAAATTTTATCTATGTAGAACTTTATATCTCATTATCCAAAAAAAAACTATATTATTGTTTACTGATGCTTTTATATTTAAAAAAAATTACAAAGTCAATATATACAAAAGATGTTATTTGCACAATAATCATGAAACAAATTTTAAGATTTTCAAAAACTCGAAAACCGATCCAATTCAAACCGAAAAAATTGGATTGGATCGGATTTAAAAAAAAATTCAAACCGAATGGATGATTACAGGATCAAACTGAAAGGATTAGATCGGATGATTTTTGCTTTTAAAATCAATCTAATCCAGACTGCGAACACCCCTAATTCAAATCTAAACCACATTTTATTTTTTTATAATAAATTTCGAAATAATAATTAATGACCGACATAATTAGATAATAATACATGTATTGTTGGTCGTCTCCTATGTCAATTGCACCGTTCACTTTAAAATATTATTAGTTATAACAATTGAACAAAATTACACAAATAGTTTCGTGTAACAAATAATTGAAAAGCTCGTAAAAAAGCTCTGTGAAATTGTGATTGTAACCAACTCTTGTGAATGGAAAGCATTTCGTGACAAGTTTTTTACCGCTTTGTGCACTGATCGGATCGAGGAATTAGTCTCACGAGGATACCAAAAAAAAAACAATTGTGTGTGTCCAAACTAAAGGAATACTACATAAGAGAAGAAAATTTGCTTAGTTTACAATACGAAAGGAAAAGTCAATACCAACACCGCTTGAGAGAACAATTTGCTCAAGTCTACTACAACTCGAAAATTCTACGCTTAAATAAAAACTCGAAAGTCAATAACCGAACCTAAGACCGTTCAAAGTGCTAACATGAAAAGATACTCTAAGTCTAAGGTGCGTCCGTTGACTTGCTTGTTCTGAAATTGAACAAAGCATGCACCATCCAACCTCGTGTTCTTTCTCTATCTTTGTCCTGACTGCAACACAAGAAAACAATCCCTTCACTTCAGTGTTCTTCTTTTGCCAAATGTATAGAAAAAAGCAAGATTATTTTCATCACAAACACGTTTAAAGCATGTTACCTTATGAAGGTGGTTCTGAAATAAATCAGGTGCCCTCGTTTATCACTGCGACTTTGATCTTTTCAACTGTGCACTTAATTAAACTGTTAACGGTGGCCACTGAACCTAGAGATAGCTTTGCCGTTGGAACTGAATCAACTAATATCTGAAATGCAACAGTGAGTAGAGAACCACCAGATCCAACATCAAGTATTGGTCCTTCGTTTGATCCAGGCCCATCAGGAAGAATAGCAAAGCCTGATGGCAACAGGGCAACATAATCTGGATCCGCACCATTCAATACTACATTCATGGTAACAACATCGACAGGAGCATAAACTACATATGAGCCAGTACAATCAGTGCAACTCTCTTGAAGTATCAGCATATTACTTTGGTTGGAATTTGCACTCTACAATTGGTATTGCCAAATAAATAAATAAAAAACATGTTAGGTTATATGTTATGAGATATAATCTAGGATGTGAAAATTGTACCTCTGTGGCATACTATGGTCATGTGGTCATAGTAACATCAAGAGAGAGAAAAGTGTATGACTTTTAAACGAGTGATTGTGATCAAATAACATGATCACATAACCACCACTTTTTCATACGAGAAGATCCAAATCCATAACAGGGACTTACTTTGACACGAAGTAAAGAGACACAGTTGCCTGGATCACCACCATTTTCTATGTGTGCCAATTCCTGAACTTGGCCCCCGTTGGAGAGAATATCCCACTGTTAATTCAATTAAATGTATAAGCTTCAAGGATTCAAAATAGTTACTATGCTTCCACCAGTACTATTTCATTTCAAATAAAATTTTACTAAAAAATACTAAATTCTTGATACGTGTTTCTTTTCTTACTATACCGTGTTATAAATATAAAAGATGTGAACATTGACATGTTATGCATACCTCACTTCTTGAGTTTTGATCTCGAAGGAAATCAAAAACCCTGTTTGGAGGAACTGGAAGCCAGAAAGAAGTAGCAGCACAGAGCACTATACCGGGGGGACTGCCTGGGTCATCCATACTCTTTCTGGTCATGACCCTTACATCATCACATCCTGTTTCTGATAGCGTTGTCCAAACATGTGCTGTAGAAGCACCAACACCAGCACAAAAGCTCATTACCATTCTCTCTGTCAGCTTCAGCATACGTTCCTTTCCCTCAGGACTGATTATCACTGTATATAAACATAAGGATTGGAAAATCACACACTTAACTCATCTTTGTGAGTACATACATTACATATATGCATGCATATTAGCTTCTAAAATGATCTTAAACTAGCCATGAAAGGGACCAAAAAAGTTGATATAATGCCACATACCACAAAGGACCCCTGATGGTACTATGCTGGCCATTGAACTAGCAAGACGTTCGCATTGTCTATCTAATGTAGCCACCCATCGTTTAGCTCCAAAGGCAATGCTCGAATTAACTAAAGGTCTATATAGATCATGCACCGCTCTATTATCCACTTCTACATGTTCAATCCATGTAACCTGAGGAATAATGAAAGAACACAACTACTAAGCGACATAAAAATATTTTTGGTTTAGTTTCTGTTTTTCTTGGGATGTAGCCCCTTTATGTAACAGAGGGAAAAGATCAAAGAACTTGAAGATTATCAACAATGTGAATATTACAGATGCTCAATTGAAAATACCACACCACCTTGGAGTAACCATTTGGCAATTGTTGAATTAAACAACCAGAGGGCCTTCTTCGGCTTCTTGAGATTGTACTTGGTCGCAGATTATCCAAGGAAACATCAACCACCGCCCATATCCCATCTGGATGCTGCTTACAGTACCTTACAAAATAGTTCTCACGAGTAGGAACAAGTGGTGAAGGGACTTGGAACTCAGCTGACATCTGAAAGAAAAAGAAAAAACTGTTACATAAAATGAAATGCATATTTCTAGTCTTATAAATTCTCTTGTGAGGTGAAAATCTTGAGTGTAAGGGAGAAAAATGAGTACTGTACCACTTGCAAGGCTCCATTGTAGTTTCCTGCCACTCCAGTTGAAAGGACTTCAAGTGTGAATGCTCTTGAAACTATTCCGCAAAACGCAGTTGACCATTTATTCTGAAAACCATAATCAATTCAAAGAGGTATATATATGATATATCTCGGTTAACTGCCTCACTCGACAAATTAAATATAATAGGAACTCTAAGAAATTGTTGGGATCATTAACACTCACCACATCCATAAAGATATCAACAAGGTTGATATGATTCATGATAACCACCACGGATTCCCTTGAAGCTTCAGATCTTAAGCCCAATGGTTTCGGACCTATACGTCTAGGGAAAGTCCTCAAGTATTCATCTTCATTTAGAATCTCAGTAATGTGGTTGCTGGGGACCCATAAAGGGTCGCCAGCCTGAGCTAATCTTGTTAGTTCCTCCATTGCTGCAACGGCAAGCTCAACAATCATGGGTTTGTCAGCATCAGCAGGAACTGGGAGTGACCTAAGAAGGTCACTACCACCATACATTTCTCCTACCATGCTTGACTGTGCTCCAACACCAAGATCAAGCGAGCGGGAAGGCACATGATTGTTACTGTGAGATGAAATTCTATCAATCTGAAGTATTTAAGGGAAAAAAAAAAAAGGTTAGTTTGAAAAAGAAGAAAACGAGAGACAAAAAAGAATAATCCTTTACATTATGCAATGGGGATGAAAATTTTGTAATTAATTAATTAACAAAACTTGTTTTGTGGTAGTGACTTACCTCTTCTCTTAATCGAGCATTCTCAATCCTCAAGTGCTGCTCGTCAAAGGACATTTCACCAAGAGCAACTGGGCCTCCGCACTTGGGGCATGTAGCATTACTTAGGGCCTCCTTGTACCTATTGTTCTCAGCATGAAGTTTTTCATTCTCAGCCTTCAAATTAGAATTCTCATGTCGTTCATGTTGAGCCTATATATATATATATATATGTACGTGACCATCAGAAAGAATCATTTTACAGATCACAGTATAAGCGTAATATGATTTACTAATTAGATTTTTACAGATGCTAATCAATGTTAATTAAATCCTAACGCTTACTAATTAATATCAACCCATTGATTTGCTAATTAAATCCTAACTATTGAAAATAAATTTTAATTAACGTCAACCATGATGATTTGTTAATCAAATTGTTACGGATCTCCTAATATAAAGCAAGCCAAGTATACTTCAAAGTTCAATCTAATATAACTTTGGTCGAAAGTTATATTAGATATATATACCTTCATCTGGGTGCGTTTGTTTTGGAACCAAAACTTGATTTGCAAAGGTTCTAACCCCAGCTCACGGCTCAGCTCTTTTCTTTGCTTGTCATCTGGGTGAGGACACTGCTTAAAGAAGCTGAAAAGGCGAAGTTGAAAGAATAACCATTAAGCAAACTGAGCAAGAAAACATGTTATGAGATAAAGAGTTGTATTGGAAAAATATGGTTCCTACGCTTCCATTTCTTGTATTTGGCGCTGTGTGTGGCGGTGGTAGCCCTTCTTTGTGGGTCCTTGGTTAGGATCCTTGTCATCACTGAAAGGAGCGTCCGTGGTCTCTGTGCAAGATTTGCTCTCGTAGTCTTCATCTATGGCCCTTCCCAAATCACTCTCAGAGGAAGTCTTGTACATGTGAGACGACATATCAAGCACATGATGGTGAGAATCAAACATGTTTGTTTGAAAAATTGATGCAAATCGTTAAATTTTAAGAAGCCACGGTCTTCTTTTCCAATCTGCCAAAACATGAATTGAAAAAACATCCAACTCGTGTGAACCAAATGTGTAGAAGCGTAGCAACAAGTAGTTTATTTGTTAACAAAATACAATATGTAATAATCAAAGAGGTAGACAGTCACAGTGGTTTAGCAAAGCTTGAATCATCAGACGACCAAATAAGGCACTGATTTGGAAGCTTTTCTTTTATAAATTAAAATTTCCCTTCTCTTATTATCAATTTAATCCATGATAACAACCATTATAAAGTCTGCTCAGAAAGATAGAAAAAGTTTTCTCCCCATATCTTATATATATATATATATATATATATATATATATATATATATATATATGAGTGACTGTTAATTAGTTTTTTCATTTATTCAAATTTCTGTTATATTATTAAAAAAAAAAAATAAGACCATAAAAAGGAAGTGATCACCAGTTTGATTAGCCTTGAAGATGACTGCAATAGATCAATGGCATTGCCTTTCCTTAGCCTTAATACTCTTACATGCAAGAATTATTGGAAAAATAAAGCAAAATCAGAAAAGACAAAATGGGGAAAGAGTTGACGTAGTGTGAAAGATTGTAAATTATAAGGCTAGCTGAGTGACTGAGTACGTTCAATGCGGGTGAAACCAACCGTTGTCTCTCTCTCTCAGTCTCTCTTTCACTGAATGCATATAACCGAAACATGGATTAAAGATATTCAAGCCAAAGCTAACATCAGCGTAAGAAACATGCACACAAGATGGCACCTTAAGGTTTGATGGAGGAACCTGAGAGATGTTGATTGTTGAAGCGGTTGTGGGAATTAGGGAACTGGAGGAGTTGTTCCTGCACTGCCTTTATGATATATAATAGGGATTAAAAGGAACCGAAAGGTAGACCAAAGAGAGAAAGAAACGAACGTAGAAAAAGAGGAGATAAAATGAAAAGATGGAAGGTTTGGAAGTAGTGGAAAAGGAAGGGGAAAGAGAGAACAGGTGGAGAGGATTTGGCAGAGTGGAGTTATTGCAGAGGCTATTGAGAGGGTGTAAACGCATTTATGAAGTAATGAACGGTGTAAATGGATGTATATATAGAGGGAGAGAGAGAGAGAGAGTATGACCTCATGTTTTAAATTTTCCCTGTGAGGTGTGGTGAAGTGTATAGCTTCTTAACTCCTGTGTCTCAACCTCAATCCATTACACTGCATTTGGCTTTTGTCATTGCACATTTATTTGTGGTTGTTTGTTTGGTTTTGTTTCTTCCTCAATCTGATTTTCTTAGCTGGAAAGCAAAATAAAAACGAGAATGCATACGTAGATTTTTCTTCTTCTTTTTCTTTTACTTTTTTTATAAAAGTTGCAAGCACAAGAACATGCATGGAGAATGAGTTCCATAGCTTGGTTGAGTTCTGAATCCTCAGATAAATATGCAAAACAGTTCAATAATTTTTTTTTATCGGTATGAAGAATGATTATTTATTTTAAAACTCAATACAAAGTGTTGCATGCTTTTTATTTGACGGATCAGGATCAATTAGAAAGAAATAAACAGAGAGATGGGAATTTCATAATTTTGAAATTGTGGACCCTCATTTTTTTCTCTATTTCGCCAATTGGCTTGTAGAATCTATCTCATCCCTATTCGATTTAAGTTGTACTACCGTATTTTCTTCTTTGGATGGTGGTGGTGGGGGCACCACAGTCCATATCATAAATTATGTTTATCATATAATATTTAATAAGTTAAGGAATATAATAAATCACAGGTGTTGCTTACTTGACAAATTGATGTATATATATATATGTGTGTGTAAACTTCTATTTGCAGTGAACAATTTATGGCTAGAGCTAAACTAGCTCAGCATAAAATAATTCCACAACCAAAAAATATATAATTCTAGTAACCAAAAAAAAAATTGAAAAAAAATTGCAAAGTGAAAGAAAATCTTAAGCTTTCCAATTTAAAGTTTAAGCAATACAAGGATAAAATTGTAATAAAAAAATTCATAAAAAAAGTTTTAATATATAACCCTGAAAATATTTACGAGATTTAACAATATTGTGTAGCTGTATTAACATACAGATACAAAACCTAGGCGAGGGTTAATTTGTCTTTATTAGAAGACAAGCACACATTTAAGGGAAAAAAAATTTATTTGGCGAGAAATCTCCTTGTCATACGCTGTACACATGCAAGTCCACAATAGTCAAACATATTGTCAGTCATATTTCGGGATTCAATTGCATGAAATAGTGCGAGAGATATTCTCCTACATGATTGATAAACTAGTGAGTGGTGTGAGGTGTTTGAAAAAGAATGGGAGATGATTTGGTCCACTTGGTCAAACCCTCGATCACTTAACTATTTTGTTTATAGCTGAAACAGGATAATTGTTTTCTGCTGCTAGGAAAGCTCATTACAACCATACCTTTCGACATGAAAAGTTATAGATTTGGCGGCATGTCAAGGGGATGGAGTTTAGGGCTTTAGGTATGTCACGCCTTTTGAATTCTTCAGCAAAAGGGAATCTCTGTATAGTGCTCAAAATGGTTGGCCATGTTTGATAAAACCTTACCGATCATACTTGAATATCATGATATTAATCTTCGTCCTATGCACATATTTGAGTTACAAAAAAGGGACTTTCGTAATATAAATTCTACACGATTAAAAAAGAGAGGTTATATTTATAAATTTTATCACTTACAAACTCTTATAATTAAATCTTAAGTATTGATTTCCGTCAATCTAACGGTTATAATTTATAGAAAATTAATAATTAATTAATAAGTATGACCCAATAAATTATAGCCGTTAGATTGACGGAAATCAATTGTTAAAATTTAGTTATAAGAATTTGTAAAAATTTAGTTTATAAATATAACCATTTCCACTTAAAAAACTGATAATCTATCTTACCTAAATATTTAAGCTGCTTTTATATATATATATATATATATATATATATATATATATGAAAAAATTACTCACGTGTTGTTGGAGAGTAGCTTTCATTTCTATACACTCATCGATTTATGTGTAACTCAATTTTTATTTATTTATTGTTTATAAGTGAGGAGGCCGTCAGATACACTCTTTTCTTCTCTCCTACAACATGAGATTAATATATAGGATAAAAGATTTCTCAGTCAATGGAGATAAATTATCTCCGATGAGCCCAAAACGACGTCGTTTTGAGACGAAAATCAATGTATTTTTATAATTCTAATATATTGCAGGGTCATATTAGTCTTTATCATTATAATTTTTTAATCTTATAATCCCAAAATAACATCATTTTTAGCTCACCAGAGATAACTTTTTTTTCGATGACTAGAAAATTACTTTCTATATATATATATATATATGGGTAGGATCATCTTACACCAGTGTAAGAATAATAAGTCTTACACCAAATCTTAACCATTGATTTTCTACATCTAACTATTTTTAATTCCCAATATATATAGGGGTAAGATGATCCTACCCCTATATATATATATATATATATATATATATATATATATATATATATTAGTTTGATATGAGGTAGAAAAAAATTTATGAAAAAGTTTTATCAATAATAATAGGGAGAGATTATACTTACCATCAACTAATCTCTTACTATCTCTTTTAAAACCATGGGATAAAATTAAATCAATGGTTATCATTTGATATAAATTTTCTTTCTCTCTCTTCAAGCACTTTCTCCACTTCCTCTCTCATCTTCATCTTTCTATCATGTTTACTCCACTATCTAACGGTTATAAAAGAGGTAAAAGAAGGTGATAAACTTATTGATGATAAATATAATCATCTCCTATAAATTAATTATTTTTTCAAATGTTTAGGTTATCCTATTAGTTTTGAGGAGTTGTTTATTTCAGTTATCTCAAAAAAAATAAAAAAAATAAATAATGCTTGACAAAAGAGGGAAAAAAAAACTTTTCGGTTGATAAATGACTCAACAAAGTGCTGGCCACAATTTCGGATCTGCCTTGAGCTCAACAGAAATTAAACTTAATTTATTTTCCTTTTCTAATTTCCTTCTTTTTGTATTTTTCTCAATTTCCACATAATTATACTAGGGTGTGTTTAGTAGAAAGATAAAATTTAAAATCCGAGATATCCGTATTTAGTACAAGGGATGTGAAAATTTTCCTGAATTTCTTGCCGAAATTTCAAAATGTGAACAAAATTCTCAAAAAAAATACCACCTCACAGGTGAAATTCTAAAAATCGCACACGGTGGAAAAATATTGACTAATTTTTCAAACAATAACTCCCTGCTTTCTTCTTTGTTTCTCTCGTTGTCTCTTACTACATTTTCCTTTCGTTTCATTCATTTTCTCATGCAAGAATCTTCCCAGGAGGAAAAGCTTTTGAGATCACTTGTTCAATGGATAAAAGCTGTCAATACTCTGCAGAGTCTACAACTATACTATTGTTACCACATCCTTTGGCAATGGTAGCAGCAATACTAGTAGCAGAGATCATTATCTGAGGCACCTCAACAAGCTTTCTCAAAAGATTTCCAAACCCATCATTAAAAAACAACCTTTGATTCCTCCTCTTCTTCTTCTTCTCAAACCAACAACCACACCCACAACAAAACCACACCTTCAATAGTCAGGCACAAGCACAACAAAACCTGCAGCATCAATCACCTGAGTACAACATCAACAAGAACGACTTCAGGATGTGGTTCAAAAACTGTGTTAAAGAACCTTGGGATACACCACCCAAAAGCTAGCTCAAGGGGTAAGAGTGCTCAAGGCCTTATAGGACATATTAGTTGCTCATCCAATCAATGTGAGACTATATATCTCAACACGCCCCTTCATGCAAGAGCCTTTTAGGCTAGAAGCGAGTCTCACCTGCAAACGACCGCATCTCAACACCTCCACCTATTCAATGACTTCAGATAGAATTCTAATTGCTTCGAATTCTATCACTTACTTAGTGTTCAATCTTTTTCTAACTGATTCTACCTTTTACTATTTATTACTATAAGCATCCAGTCAACTACCTCCTATGGATTTTCGCTGTTTCTCTTTCAAGATGAAACTTTGGAGAGAAATTCAAGATGAACATTTGGTAGTATCCCGTCAGTGTTGGATGATCGTGTAAAATTTTTATTTTAATTTGAAATTGCAAAAGTGTTGAATTATAAGGGATAATTTTGTAAAATTAACTCATATTTCCAATAATATTTGACAATCAATCAAACATATAATCAAACCCATATTTTCGGTAATATTTTGGTCTATCAAACATTTACCGTTGAACTATCAAATATTTTCTAGGAATCACGGTTCTCGGGCACACAAAAATTTATTCTCTACCAAACGCTCTTTCTCTTCTGTTTCATATCTATTATTATTATTATTATTATTATTATTATTATGTAGTAAATAGGTTCCACATGAACTCCTATAAATCCCTATGAACTTATAAGTAGTAAATACCATCAAATTTGATGATATTGGAGAAACCACCCTTAAACAATTTTATTTTCATTTTTTTATCATTGATAATTTTCTTGCTATAAATCCCTTGGCTCTATATGAACTGAAAGGTTGGACCGACAAGTATAATATTTTTTACAGACACAAAATAAATTTTAGCAGTAACATCATTTCATACAATCAAGTTCTTACAGGTTTGTATGATATAGTTTTTTTTTCATAATTATGTTTAAACTAACAATTTGCCTACCAAAAACACGAATTGCTCAATTGTGCATGTAACTGTTTTCTCAATCATTATTATTACTATCCGGCTGACGTACTCAATTTGTAAGTAATGTGGAATAGGGAAATACTGGCGCATAAGATTCTCTTTAGATCAGTATCAGATCGGTGTTAATTTCGTCCCCAGTCTGAGTCTCTTGCAGTGGCATGACTGAACCGATTATTTATTGCAAGCTGTGCCGACTAGGCCACTAATTCTTTATCCCAAAGTAAGATAATGGCCCCATAATTTTAAGTTTAAGTAATATTAAATAATATCATTATTTCTCAACTAATTATGTCATACCTAAAGACTGTTTAGTTTGTGGAAGGATATTAAATAGTATCATTGTGTTACTATTGTTAGTTTTTATTTATTTTACTTTATTATTTTGTTATTTTCAAATTGTTATTGTTAATAAAGGGTTGTTATTTAACCTGGTCTTTAAAAACATTGGAGTAGTGAATGGGATAGGATCTTGTGATTGTTGGTAGTGGGGTGGGTGGTTGCTATTTGTTAATGTTTTTATTATCTATTTAAACTTCTAGTGAAATGAATAAAATATCATATTAGAAAAGTTATCTCACGAGGCACTTATACAAGAGGTTAGGCTTCCTCAATAAAGTTATTTGATGTCATACTTTTTCAATAAAGTCAAATTTTCATTTTTATTTATTTTGTTCGTAACAATTAGTATCAAAGCTCAGGCATGGACTAATGCGTTCAGAAATTCGAAGACGTTGTCCAATCTTTGTCGGAGCAATGGACAAACACGTTCAAAAATTGGAAGATGCGGTCCAATCTTAATTTGTTAGAGCAATTCAAGGAGATGTTCACCCAATTCTCCAAATGATTGGACATCTTGGTGGCTACGCTAACACGACAAAGAAGAGATCATTCAGCCAGAATCGAAATGACACTAATCCAGTTCGGTGATTGACTTTCGAAGAAATTTCATATAGGCGACGGAAGGGGCTTTGTTTTCGCTGCAACGATGATTTTGCTCGTGGTCATCATTGCAAGAAGTTATCTTCAATCGAGACGATGATGGACGAAAGTGATGGAGATGCGAAAATTGAAGATGCGGAAATTGAAGATGATTCAATTACTTGATATTGAATTTACTCTTGAGGACAAGAGTAATTTTTAGGGGGAGAGAATGTTAAGATTGTTAGTTTTTATTTATTTTATTTTGTTATTTTTAAATTGTTGTTAATAAATAGTTGTTATTTGACCCCAGTCTTTAGAAATATTGGAGTAGTGGATGTGATAGGATTTAAACTTCTAGTGAAATGAACAAAATATTAGATTAGAAAATATGGGTACCAATGTGTTCCTCACGAAATTTATTAGGGGAAGAAGAACTTTCTTTACAATGAACCTCACACGAAAATACTTGTACCAATTGTTTCTCTCGAAATTTCTCATAAGTTTGGCTTTGAATCCAAGTGATTTAGAGGTCTCTAGCTCTCTCTATGATTTTTGGAAATTTTCCAAGCTTTCTTGTGAAGAAGAGTGCCTTTGTCAACGGAAGAAAGAAAATGAGGGGAAGAGAGAGTATTTTTGTTTACTTTAAGTGAGTTCAAATAATTTAAATGGATATAAACTTATCTATCCAGCTCACTTAACTCATATTCCAACTTAACACTTTGGTTTACAATATTTTTGTGGTAACATTTCCACATTTATATTTTACTTTCGGGTAACTTTGTCTACTAACATTTTTACCCCTCAACTGTTATCTTAAGTCCTTTTTCACCGTAGCTGACTTTATTTCTTTTTCTTATACTTTCCTCTCTAATTATTCTTTATTTCTTTTTCTTATACTTTCCCCTCTAATTATTCTTCAATATTATGATAAGAGGAAGGTTACATTTATCACTTATTTTCGTTTACAACCTCTTACAACCATATCTTAACCATTGATTTTCGTCAATCAACGATTATTATTTTCACAAATCAAACTTATTAATTAATTATTAATTCGCAATAAATGATAACCGTTGATTATCGGAAATCAACGGTTAAGATATAGTTATAAGAAATTATAAATAAAAATAGATTGGAAGTATAACTTTCCTCTAAAGTTATTAATCGATAATTAAATCCACAATTAGGGGTTATTATACCTAAACCACTTGCCCAGCCGATTGCAAGTATATATGTTAATTTAAGCCGTGTAGTAATTCTATCTAGCGACCATGAAGGGCATTTAAGCATTGATTTTAAGAAAATTGGGTAACAAGAATTCTCATTTATGTTAAAAAAATAGCCAATGCCAATGCACAAAATAGCCACCAATTTTCTTGGTTTTTCCTTAACTCCACAAAAATAATGCATGACTTCTAAATATGGGAGCTTTATTCTTACAAATATTGTTTCTGCAATTCCATGCATTGATATACCAAGGGCCTCAATTAATTGGATGTACTTAATTTTTAGAGGACAAACAAGAAAAATAATATATAGGGATATAACAGATTTTGTATCTTACTTCTGTAGTGTAGTTAAGCATTTATATTCCATTGAACCATCTTCTGGTATTCTACTTTAATACTTTGTAGTTGTATAGCATAGCTCTTAAACAAGGAAGTTATCAAACTGACCCACTTCTTAAGTTTGAGTAAGTGCTTCAAAATAAATTTGACACCACTGTTTTTCTATTATTAATTTGATGTAGATCAGAAAGCAAAAGTAACAGAACCTGCAGCTTCAATACTTTCATTGGGTTAAATATCATAAATCAGATTACAAGTCAGAAACTTCACATGTAGAATCAATGCTAGGTAGGTAAATAATGAATTACAATAATAGCAATAGAGGAAGGATATTGTCACAACTTGATTTTTATGTTGGAGGTGGAATTAAGGCTCCTGTCATGTATGAATACAGAAAGATCATAGATGGCGTAATTAGTTGCCTTCATCTCGAAGAGGATCAGTATCCTCACTTTACTATTAAGGTGGCTTTCAATGACACCACAGCAGATTTTCATCCCTTTGAAACACCTAATGGCATATGCCACGATGATTTTCACAAATGGGTGACATAAGAATTTGCAAAACCATCTAATAGATATATTATAGTAAAGGGACAATCTAGAAGTTAGATCACTTGCTTTGTATAGGAATTGTTGTGAATGTATGTTTGTGATTATCTGTGGTATTTGACTTTCGTCGTCCCGTTTTTGCTTTTGCAGTTGCATGATTCCGCTTTCTACAATTTTTTTTTTTTTTTTGGTCTATGCATATAACACACCTAGCTTTGGAGAGAGATGCAAACAGAGAGGAGAGAGAAAGAGAGAGATTTGAAACAAAGCTACATACAAAACAAAAAAGCTGTCTAATTGAACTGCTCTTGACGTTGGCATCCTAACACAGTATTTGATTCAATGTAAAAGCTAAAACTAAGACTAACAACATTTTGTGTAATAAATCTACATTACGTTGGTTTCCACTTCGCACGGGGAATTGGGTAGGAAGAGAACACTCTTCTCCATTGAAAAGGACTTTTGAAGGGAATCCATCTCCTTTTGCTATTTGTATGTTGGGTGTGAATTTCTTCGTAAAGGAAATAACAGATTGTTGTTTTCCAGGCACCTTTGGGTTTGTACTATTGTCTATACCTATCAAAAAGTTCGCTCCTGGTAATCCTTGCATGAAAATAGTGTGGTTGAGTTTAGGAAGGAATGTCCCATTGAAGGAAAACACTCTCTCATAACCAAGAGAAGCCTTCTTGAATTGCAGTGCAGTGAACCAATTCTCAAAATGGAAAGGCTCCCAATTGAACAGAGTGATTCTAGCACTCCACCCACCTTTGAAATCCGAAAGTACATGCCAATTTATGCTAACTCCACAATTGTCAGCGCATGGTAATTTGCTTGGGACACGAAAATGCTTTAATTTGGCCCAAGCAACCGACTTAAGTGTCCTATTCTCAAATGGTACAAGAAGAGCCTCTCCAGGGAGAAGCAAAGCTCGGGCATTCGGATTACAGTGGTCAGTGTTTTTACAACCACAAGCACATGTGTTGCAAGGTACAACAGACTCATTGTAATAAGCAGAGAAAGAGACACAGCAGCGAGTGTTCCTCTTGGTTGGCTTGGTAATATTGCAAACTATTTGCCAACTTCCAAGAGCAATAACCGAAGCCCCAAGTCCCCTAGTGTCTGGAAATCGTGAAGGTTCAACTCTCAAAGGTGGCCCACATTTGTAATCCGGGTTAAGGATTCCCATTACTTTCCACTTCTCTGGTGGGTGAAGAGATGTTCTATTCACATCAGGTGGAACTTTAAACACTTGCATCTGGAAAACAGACTTGGATTGGCTTGTATCCATAAGGGTAGGTAAAAGAGTGCCATTTCTGCAGCAGAAAGGTATTTTTCCAATTTCGGTGTCATTGGATTTCTCTGGAGGCAAGTCACTAACTATTGGATTCTTTTGACAGTTGATGACTTTAGAGAAATCCATGCCCTGGTAGTGCTCTCCTGCAGGACCATAGACACAACCCGAGTAGTCTATCTCACGCGTGAAAGCCCCTCTCATGTTGGCTATGAATTCCCCTCTAGTCCACTCCCATGTCATGTTCCAACGATCTAAGCGTCCCAACGGGCTATGATTCTCCATGGTCACTTGAACAATATAGTTATTCTCATACACTTGAAGAACGTCATAGGATATGACAAGATCCCCTTTGAGGCGTCGCATGTATTTGTTCTTCTCAACATCAGACTTGTATTTGGGGTCTCTTTTACAACACGCCCACATGGAACTTTCTGTGGAACATGATATTACTTAACTAGTTAGAACTACAAGAATAACACTAACACATAAAAAAGGAAAAGTAGTAGTAATGCGTGTGAAGACTCACTACGGATACTTGGTTGGGGACACTTGTATCCTTCATTTACCAACTTAATGGTTTTCGGCATAGGAATCCCAGGAGGCTTAACCCCAAACTGGGTGCCACTAAGTTGAATCAGCGCTTGAATTTGGGTCAAATCTTGGGCTGTGTTGACGGAGGTTTCCAAATCAGGAAGAGAAGTTCCAACTAAGTGAGTGCCTTTTCCAACTGAAGCAGGGAATTCCCCTCCATCGTACAGAACACCTCCACCAACTGAGACTAGAATCTCATCGTGTTGAAACCCAATGAACAACTTCCATGATCTAAGAACATCCGAGCCTGTGTTGAGTAATGTTGCAGTGGCATTGAAGGCCCATGATTGCGCTGTAACGTTCTTGAGGCGAGGGAATCCCTTCCTTCTGTCAAGGAAGTCATAGGAAATGTAAACCCCATTACAGCTTTCAGCTGCTGGAGGGAGAGCCTCAGGATCTTGACCCTCACACACATAAATTCCACAGGAAAATAACAACACCACTAATGACAGTGATAATGATAGATATATCAATGCACTTGTCATGTCTTTTTATTGGCAAATGCATTAGGATGATGATGGGACATGAGAAATGGAAAGGAGACTGAGCCTCATTGTTGGTTGGGCTTGAGAGAAACAAAAAAAAAAAATGTTAAGGGTTAGAGTTAAGAGAGGTTGAAAGAATTGAAAATGGAAACAATTGGGAAAGCAGGGTGTATGGTCAGAGGGAGGAGTAGGAAAAAGGAGTGTGGAGAGGAACAAAGTGAGGTGCTTAGAGAATCGAAATATCAGCGAAGAATAAGTCGCATTAGGAACCTCAACCTCTAAGCCTGCGATGGATTTGGCGGGGCCAACGACTAACGATCATTTAAAATCTCTATTTTTGCACTTAGCTGCCCTCACTTCTAGTTAGTAAAGCTCTATGTGTGATAACGATTTTTTAACAACATATAAAGAAAGATAAGAATTTTCAAGAATAGGAAATAACTTTCATTTAATAGCTCAAATTCTAACAAACCAAACCAAACCACAAGGTGTCCCCTCATTCTTTCCCCATAATTCTTATCTGAGTAGTTTAATGTTATTTCATAAGTTACAATCAAATTCTTCAATTTACTTTTTTTACTTTTTTTTGCTTCTTTTCATATACAAATCTCTTCTCTGGATAGTTATGAAGTTCTGGTTGATGATAAATGGGAATAATATCTTAATTTACAAAATAAGGAAATCCTTACCTATGAAGTATGAAATTTCAAAATTTCACGGTCCTCTACAGTTAGGCACTATTTCGGTTCCTATCTTCATTTTTTTCTAGATATGATACCCATAGAATATTTTACTCATTGTTGGTTATATTTACCAATATCAGCATGAGTAGAAAGAGTTTGAATTCCTAATTAAAGCATGTTCTCTGTAGAAAAACAGAAAATAAAATGTCGTTGAGAGGTCTTCATCTTTAGTATTTCGAGAGATTAATTTCGTATTTACTGTGTAAGAAAATATTCTAAGATAAAAAAAATACTGGTTATATTTTTATTTTTTTTTGGTAAACAATACTGGTTATATTTAATATAACTTTATGTTTATCATAAAATTAAAATTTAATAATTTTTTTTACAACTCACCCTAAATAGTACATCTATTAAAATACCATAACAATCCCCGCTTGGGCTTCACACGACTTCTCTCCTTTTTGGTGCTGTTTTATTTTATTTTTAATGTACTGAAATAGGATCATGTAAAAATAAATAAATTCATAGCGTACTATTTACCAAAAAAAAAAAATTCATAGCGTACTACTAAATAAACTGGAATGTATGAGCCCAATACACCTGAAATTGTAGCATTCAATTCAACCAATGACTAACGCTGTCTTCGGAAACAATTGAAATAATCATTTTTTTAGGTTCGTAAAAAAAGTTGGTAAAACTTTTTTATTTGATCTTAAATACATAAATCCAAACACACGGATCTAGTTCAGAGCTGGCAAAATGGGTTCGGCTCGGCGGGCCAACCCGCCAAACGGAGCGAGACGGGCTGAGTTTTTTAACCCATGTCAAAAGCAGGGCGGGGCGGGGCGAGCTCATTTTTTGGCAGGTTGACGGTGGGCATAGGCGGGTCAGTGTAAAATAGACTCGGGCTGACGGGCCAACCTGCCAAACGAAACAGGACGGGCTGAGTATTTCAGCCCACTTTCAAAATCGGAACGGGACGAGCTAACTCATTTTTCGGCAGGTTGATGGCGGAGTGGAACAGGTCGGGCCGGGCCACCCACTTTGCCACCTCTAATCTGGTTCCAACCTCCTGCCTCAATCCATAAAAGTACGAAACCATTACAACTCTCAAGTACATAAAAGAACTTTCAATTTTGAGAATTTATGTTATGATATCAACCATTTCAATTCTCAAGTACATAAAAGGGCGCTGATGAACTTTCTACTTCAAGATGAAAAATTAGAAGCATATTGATCTTGTTGGAATGAGCATCGATTACTATATTTTTTTCCATGTCTATTCATTTTAATAATGCAAAACTGACAATACGACTTATGAATTTAAGGTCCAGTTATGATTCACATAAGACCAAAAAATGGCACACAATTCAATCGCCCTAGAATTCTTTTTCACTGTTTTTCTCCCACCCTGTCAGCAAGTAATTTGGTTTTTCTCTAAACGAATTGGGATTTTAACTAAGACCATGGAAATTTTCACAGCTTGCTCTATTTTATTTATTTTCCTAGTGTACCAGGCAGGATAAGGGCATGGTTTTAGCTATTCACATTGCCAAATCTTTTTCCATGGACCAACTTCATCATTGTCTTCAAACTGCTAGACTTGAGCAACTGGTGTTGGGTTCTCTCTCGCAATACATAGCCTTTGACTTGCTGCTTTCGACTGTCTTGATGAGGCAGATGAGGATTTGGGAGAGGAAGTTGACTTGGTCTTTTTCCGCTTGGGCTTCTTAGCAACATGAGCAGCACCTGAAGATGGACTGCCTTGGTAATTGTTTGGTGTTGTTTGGCTTCCTCTGGTCTCTTCAGAATCTGTTCAAAGGATTCAGGTATTATTATTAAGTATGCATTCCATTACCAAACAACGAACAAATTGGTAGCACTTTGACAACCCACTAAGATCCAATTTACTTTCATACAATTCCTACTTATGGTAAGGGATTTTGAACAACAAATGTAAACATAATATTTGACCTAGTGAAGGAAATTTAATGAATATGACATTGAAAATAGAAATTAATGGTTTACTATTTTGAGGTACAATTGAAGACTATATAATATGTTTATTGTGTTGCCCATGATTCATACCCTGGAATTTGCAGGAAATAAAAATGGCAATCAATGGAAGTAAAGTAAATTGTTGCGTGTAACTTCGCATAGTTGCATCCATGATGATCGTGAGAATTTAACGCTATTGTACACCGAAAACAGTCATATATAACAACCGGAAAAAACATGAACTTTCAAAAAAAGAAAATCAATATGAAGATAAACACCCTATGTGAGATAAAACTGTGTAATTAATTAATTTCTTAGGATAAAGAACTGCCACTTCCATTCATGGAGCCCCAGCTTTGAAACAGAAGATTTCATTATCTTGTTTCCGGCTAGCTTCGGCCCTATTATGAGGAGTGATATACTGCAAACAAGGCACTAGACCCACCCTTGAACATATTTTTTTTACAAGAACACAGTACAACGTTTGTGTATGGTATATACCCTTCAGAGGTCATTCATATGCAAGAACCAAAAAGGAAGTGGTTACTCTCCCCTTCAAGAAAGGCATAATAGCTCAAGCACAGGTCTGGCCAGATTCTGACAGCTGCCTTCAAACGTCTATCCTACTATGGCTCCCAAACTGAAGGTTCTAAGAAGTACACATCATTTTAGTAATACTATCATAAACACAGTTGCAAGGTGATGACTGCATTATTCCCAACTAACTAGTATATAACTAACAAAAAATTTTAAATTTTAAAACAAGGTCCATACTCATGCATCTAAACTAAGAATATAAGCAATCTGCCATTACAGTCAGCTATGGATATAACGACTCCATATTCTTATCAAGCATTGTGGTGCAATTATCTGCTTTATTTTATTATTTTGGGTGAGACTGAGATGAGATGCCCTAAATTTAATATAATCAAACCACTCTGTTTAATAAAACACTGGCGTGGTTCACTTAAATCGGTGTTAAACTGTTAATTGTAAAGCCAAGAGCCAGAACATTCCCCCTCCTTGTGGATGAGTTTGCTTGTGACAGAACCGCCAAACTCTTACCACGGGGGCAAGGAATCTAGATAGTTTTTGCAAGCCTCACAAAGTATCTAAAAGATATTAAAGAGAAGCAATAATAATCAGATACATATTCTCTCACTACTAGTAGACCCGTGAAAGGTCCTTCTGTTGGATTATTCAGGCTCAGGAGACTACACACTTGCACATGAATACAATATATCATTATGTAATAGCATCACGTTTGGAAGCCAAAATCACAACTTGACACGGATCAAATGTTGTTTTGTGAGAAATGAGAATCAAAGCATACCTTTGGTGGACCTTGATGTGGTGATAGCCACAGAATTGGGGTCTCTTCGTTCACTCAAGTTACCAATAGATGTTGAAAAATCAGGTGCTGTTTTAAATTCATTCATCTGCAATTTTTATTTTTATTTTTATTAAAAAAATCCCAACGACAAAAAAGAATAGACAAAATGATGAAACATTTGATCCTAGATAGTTGCAAAACAGAGAGATAAAGTACACATGTTTCAAAAGAAAGACATACCCAACTGGGTCCGGTCCCGGAGGGACCATCCCATCCAATGTGAGCCACATGCTTAACATCTGTCGGATACCCAATTTCCATCTCCCGCTCCTTCACAACTACAACACCCACTTCCACACTTAGCCTCAAAAATACAAAAAAGAAAAAAGAAAAGGAAATAACAGAAAGGAATGGAAAATTACTGCATAAAGGTGTACAAAGGTAGAAAGATTACCAAAAATTTGGGTAATGTATTTGAAACCTTTGCAGATCCCTTTAATCTTGGTTGCCATGGTGGAATCACGAGCCCAATGATGCCGTGTAAGGATGACACAATGTGTTTTATTTTTTATTTTTTGGAGGAAATGCTTTTGCCTGTCACAAAATAGGTGCACTGAGATGAGATGGGATTGATTTGTGTTATATACAATGCTCAATTCAAAAAAGGGGTAGAGTATCAGCTAAGGCTTCATTGCATCTGATTTAGGAACCTCCTTTTCTTTACTAGTCTGTCAATGAAAATTGGTATCTGATTATTAAATACATAGAAGTTTTTTTTTTTTTTTTGGTAGATAATACAAAGAAGGTTTTATTGCCATGTTAATGTGAAGATTTTAGTTTCAAAACTGTCAAAGAAATATTGGATTAGAGTTTCAAAAAAAAAAATAATAATAATAATGCCATGGTACCTCAAGAAGATTATGATGACAAAGGATCTAGAAAAAATATTGAAACGGTGAAGCCGGTTTTTCTTCACTTCCAACCATTGTTCTGGGCTCCATTCATCATCATTCCGAAACTTCTTAAGAGGAAATGCTGACACATGCAAAGCCTCTGTTTTTCTTGTTTCGTGTTTGCATTACGGACTACTTGCAGAGAAATCCAAATGGCACGCGGAAATTCAGTAAAAAGATTTGGAATACAAAATCAAATGAAGGAAAGAACAAACGGGATTGAGAAATTTTGAGATATTTATTGATGGTGAAGGTTGAAAGAGAGAATAGAGGGTTTGTTTCTAAGAGGAGGAGGAGGAGAATACCATTTGAGAGAGAGAGAAGAGGGAGTTTAGGTTAAAGATAAGACTTTAGAATACCTAGTAATTTAATAATGGGTTGATGGGGTTGGTTTATTGAGAAAAGAGGTGTCCATTACGCACGCGAAGGTGATGTTTGTACTTTATAGGTTGATGTGGTGATCGGTTGGTTGTTCGAGCTAGTAATGCGGGGGTCTTCCTATCTTGTTTTTACTTTTTGTTTCTTCTCTCTCTCAGATGCAAAATGTTGTAATTCTCTTAAATATCGGATGCCATGGCCCATGGACAGGGAGAGACCTTATTTCAGTGTTTGTCTTGAATTAGTGGGTCATTTATTATTACTACACCCACGTTTGGAATCGACGTGTCTCGTCGACCTACGGAGAGAGATATTAGATGGTTAGTATATCTATTATCAATTAGTGCATTATCTGTGCACGGGGAAATAGATCAAAACTTTTGTAGTGATTGTCGTGGGTTAATTTAAAAAAAAAAAGGTCATTATTTTATGTTATTTTGAGAGTTGAAAAAGTTATAATATTCGTATAAATTTTTATAAGTATAAATCACAAATAAAATTTTGCAATTAAGAAGCATCAATTCTTATGCAAATCAAATATAATTATGTAATCAATAATTGAGTATCTTCATGTACATCAATTCATACAGTAGCAACTGTGATGATACGCATATTATCCTATCAAAGAGAAATAATCAAAAAATGAGTCAAAGTTCATGCGCTTAATACTATTCAGAACAATTACCAATAGTTGATGTGATTCATCAACAATAAGATATCCAGCACTCGGCCCTACAAAAGCAAAAGAAGAAAAAAAACATAAATTACTTAGGATGTTCCCAAACATGCAACTTAAAATATTAAATTGTTGTAGCAACTAAAAAAAGTCCAAATTAACTATGTGTGAAAAAAAATAAGGGTTAAAACATTATATAAGAAATATTAATTAAGTTAGAAGCAACAAATCATACGCGTTGAAAAAAATGGTGAATAAAGAAGAAAATAAATCTTCTCCTCTACATTAGTCTTCAATACTTCTCATTGATTCAATAATATTACAAAATAAAATCAATTAAAACACATGAAGAAAAAAATTAAATTTTCTGCTTAACATGAAGACTAAATAAATACGAAACTGAGAAAAGATATCAACACCTTGCTATATTAATAAAAAAATTGTATCAAAAAAAATTTGTTTGAATTAAGTGTCAATCAACAGTAATCATTGAAGAGATAAATTAAACACATATCAAAAATCTGTATACTTATAATTCTGCAGAACCAAATCAACTCTATTAATCTTTAAAATATTTCTTTGTAGACAATGTTAAAGATACTATTTATAACACCGGCCTCATTATCATCAAGTATTAAAATTTTCAATCCTTGTTCTTTACTCTTGATATTAGATGGTTAGTATTTCTGGTAACAATTTACATAACACCATCCTTCTTGGTCTGGCATGCCACTGTCACCCTCAGAGATATATGTTTAGTTACCACTTAGTTTAGCTTCTCTTTACATGTGTCCTCTCATTTTTAGAAAAACCAAAAATAAAATAAAAATATATTCTCATTCCTCCAAGGTAAATTTCCATCTCACAAGGTTAAAATCGTGAAAACAAGAAGCTACAATTACTAATCCAGTTGATACATTTGTTATTAACGTTTTTTTTGTTTATTTACTTATACTTTTTTCTTTTGACATATTTCAATATTATTTTTTAAACTATTGTGAATTACACTGTTTATTTGAATATAAATGAATTTTCCCATAATTAAATTAGGGAAAAATATTATATAAAATTAATTTTAACTCATTAGAGTTATAAAAAAAAGGAACTAGAATGGGAATGGGTAGAATGGAACTAGAATGGGTAGAATGCCAATGGACTAGGGGTGTTCATCAACCGATCCAAACCGATTCAAACCGCGGTGACCGAACCGAAAAACCGAAAATCGAAAACCGATTAAAAACTGTAAATTTTAATTAGATTGGATCGGTTTTTGGATGGGTTGATGAAAACCGATCCAATATATTAATTTTCCTCTACCTACTTGGGTATTTTCCTAATCATAACCAAAAAATTTCTAAACCCAAGACCCATTAACCCATCAACTAAACCCAAGAAAAAATCTAGTCATATCTCATCAACAAAATTTTATTTTTGTAGAGCTTCATATCTCATTGCCAAAATTAAAAAAATTATATTATAGTTTACTAATGCTTTTGTATTTCAAAAAAAAAATAATTTCAAAAACAATATATACAAAAGATGTTATTTGCACAATAATCATGAAATAAATTTTAGGATTTTTAAAAAACCGAAAACCGATCCAATCCAAACTGAAAAAAATTGAATTAGATTGGATCGGATTTGAAAAAAATCAAAACCGAATAGATGATTATATGATCAAACTGAAGGGATTGGATCGGATGATTTTTGTTTCCAAAACCGATCCAATCCAGACCGCGAACACCCTTACAATGGACTCATATTCCTTCCCTTGCCACTCAAGGGCCCCAATTTTATTTTTTTAGTTAATATTAAATTGGGGGTTAATAAAGGAATGACATGATTCTATCTCATTAAACTAATCAAATAATGGAGTCATATGTTTGATTTCATTCCATTATGAGTCACTTGTTATTTTCTATAGCTTGCACAAAATCCTAGCTTTTTAGGATATTTATCTGCTGCCAACAGCAACAATACCAAAAAAAGGCTTTTCAATTTTTTTAAAAATAATAATAATAAAAAATCAGTGAGTCACCGAAGAACTTTTCTGCTGGATCTCAACTCACCCAAGCACTTCAGAAGTCATTTACTCGTTTATGCGATTTATGTATATTTTATGAAGAGATAGTTTGTTTCATGCATCGTATAAAAAGTAGGTAAAATTTATTAAGAAAAAAAAAAGAGAAAAAATAAGTGAATTTTGACTACTTTTTATATATTACATTATATGAGATAAATTATATCACATAACATGAAAAATAATATTATCATATTTTATATATACAAATAGAGCAATTTAGTGAATTCAACTTGTAAGTTCTAATTTGATAATTGCTTGGAAAAGAAAATCATGGCTTATGTGAAAGTCACACAAATAATGATAATTGTTGACATTTTGCGTTATTGGTAAGCATTTTTTATATATATAATAAGAAAAAGCGTATCAACCTATAGTACTCAACTTCATTTGCTTTCTTTACCAAAAATAAAATAAAATCATTTGCTTTGTTGGCATATCTGACAGAATGGTTGGAGGCACGTTTCCAGTTGTAATTTGCGAGACAGAGCCCTTGTACATCTCTTTCTTGATTTCCCAGGATTGAAATGCGCCCCGTTGGCTCTACAAATTAGAAAATCTTTGACACTACAAATCATTTCCTTCTTTTAATTAAGATGCTTTAAAAAGCTATGCTACAAATATAGAGAATATCATGCCAGAGAGATTCTTTGGTATATTATTGTTGTGAAAAATCGGTAAGTGCACCGATCGTATCAAGTAATAAAAAGTGAGTAGAGTATCTTCTTCACAGGGATTGGGTCGAATATCAATTAATTGTTCCTTTTAAGAATGGATGAACAAGAGTTGATTTGAAAGTAATGGTGTTTGTAACAATTGTGAATTATTTAATAATTTATGAACAATTCAAGAGAAGTTGAAAACTTAAAGCAAATGTGAGAGTTGAGAAAATATGTAGAAAGCTATTGCAGTAAAGGACTCCAACACATTTCCGATCCTCACCTTGTAATATTGATTAATGTTTATATTTAATTACCCAATTGATCAAACAATTCACCATCTATTAATTAATTAGTTAAGCCATAATCCCTTAGTGATCTTAACTTTATTAACCCTATTAGAATCCTAATTCCTTATAAATCTCTTTTCAAGTTAATCTTTTAACCCAGTGAATTTTTCACGTTTGCAGTTCATATAGCCTATCCCTAGTGCATACATGAACTGTTATTTTACCCTTTGTCAGGAATTAGAATCCCAATATCCCTATCGCGAACCCTAACCCTCGCAATCATAATCGAGTGATCAATTCTAGAAGAATTAAAGATGAAGAACAAAGTAAAATAAATGTAATTGAAATAATTAAATGTAAAAACTAACCAAACTACAAGGAGTTCACATCAAGGTTATGTCTGACAATATTAAAAGAGTTATGTCTGACAGTTTAAATAATGAGAAAGAGTTCATGAAAATGTAAACCGGAAGAAGAAGAAGAAGTCTTGAATCTTCAGTCACCGAGAGCTTCCTCTCCAATTTCTCCTTGCCAAAAGATGATTTTGTTTTAGAGTTTCTGCTTCCTTTATATAGCCAGCTACTCAATCAGGTCATAATCCTTGAATTAATTCTGATTAAATTTCCATTTTTCTCATAATTCCATCAATCAATCAGGTCATAATCCTCTCACTAATTTGATTAAATTTCACTTTTAATCAAACTCCACAAATCAAGGAATGCATTCATGACGCCCGCGCGATCAGTGCCAAATTCGCGACTCCACAAATCAAGGACTGCATTCATGACGCCTGCGCGATCAGCGCCAAATTCGCGACTCCACAAATCAAGGATTGCATTCATTACGCCTTCTCGATCAGCGCCAAATCCACGCGGACAAACAGAAAGTAATTTGCCAAAATCACGCGGATCGCGCCATTTTTTGCGCAAGACTATGCAATTTCAACTTCTCTCTTTCACTTGGTGTTTCCTACTATCAAAATGCATAAATTGAGTGAGAGAATGATTGAGAAGGAATAATCAATATTTCTTGCATTTATGAGCTTATTTTCACACATTTATGA